AAAAAAAAAAAAAAACTTTAAGAATGAAACCATAAAAAATGGCCCTAAATGCAAAGCACAATTTCTTAGGCTTTATGGTGAATTATGACCCAGACACATTCTTGAGAGGTTTCGTGAGATTCCCTTCTCTACTATTCACTCTAGATCATTTCATTCAGGCATTCATAAGGAATGTTTACATAGCTTCAAAACCCACACAACAGACAAGATTGCATCACACTGCCTGTCAAACACTCAGTGACAAGTTCCAATGAGACTGAGCTAACAGAAATGAATCAGGAGGTGCTTACCTCAGCAATGACCGTCAATAAATAAATATTGACCAATCAATCGGCAGATGTATCGTTCTATCCATGATAAAGGGCACACAACTAAAGGCTAGTCAAACTGAGAAGTGGAAAGTGGTATCTTTGATTCAGTGCTGCAACTATTCAAAAACTACAACATTAGACAATTATGAGTCTGTTGCATCATGGGTTAGACAGCTGATCTTATTTACAGCTTTAGACAATAATAAACCTAATAAACCAGATTAAATCAGACAGGCAGTATCAGTCTGACCTTGTGATATCTATGACATGTCTCTGACCGGGACAAAGGTTGAGTTTTACTCTGCTTATGAGTGTTGACAAAATATCGACCTACACTGCCATCTCACTTATAGATTCTTGAAAGATATGTGACCTATAAATGCATGGATGAATACAACAATCAGCAGCATTCATTATTAATAAAGATGAACAGGTGTGGTCTACAGGCACCCATTCACACGCTCAGACACCCATTTTGTCCTGCGTATCAGGAGTCCGTTTCCAAACCCTTAGTTTCCACCATACCTGTTCATTAGCAACACAATGACCAAACCAAACAAGTCCTGCAAGAATACCAAATTACACATGAATCACATTGTCTTAAACCAAAATACAACCAACCATCTACACAACCACAATGAGGGCAAGAAATAATATACAATCATAGTGTGTACACTACAGCTTTACAGTAATGGAAAATCTGAAATCGCATGAAACTGCATGCATTGTCTGTTTGTTTTTTTCCCCCATGAAAGCCTATTGTTTAATACTAAACCTTTAATTTATGCACACAGCTGATTTCCACAGGTAGGAGGGATGCTGGGAATGAAAACAATAAATAGAAACATGGCTGTCGCCATACAACAAGGTCAAAAGGGACACAATGGATCTCATGCAAGACGACATTCTATGTGGGCCACAATACTTTAATACAGATTAATGCTCAATTTCTAGGAGGAAAATTAAAATCTATAACTGTACTTTTGCTAAACCGCATGATGAATGCATTTAGAGGTCAGCAAGTAAAATGAAGAACTTGAGTCATAGTATATAGTCATACACCTATGGCAGATGACTTTCTGTCTCTAATTCACAAACCAAGAGCAGCTTCAAATATTAAACACATAGGCTCTTTACAAAACACATGCTAATTTAAAAGTAAGGGTTTGCACTTCACACAATGTGCATTTGTTAAATTATTAAAATACATATCCAAACAACAACAACTAAAGTCGAAACTGGAATAAAGAGGAGTTCATAGTGTCATATTTCAGTTCCACACATGCTCTTCTGCAGTCATCCATATGCATCAATGACACGTTGCAATGTTGCAAAACACTATCAAAGTTGCTATTATGCTACTGTATAACGCATTTCATTACTCAATGAAGAATAAAATACATCAGGAACTGCAAAAGACTATTAAACCGGCTTTACTGACCTGTATGAGACAGAACTCTTCTGATAAACGCCCATGCGTGTCTGACGGCGAGCGTTTACTACTTTTCCCGCTGTGTTTGGTCGCCAAAATCTCCACCAATCAGAGGCGCCGTACGAATTGACTGACTGTAAGGAGGCCTGTGATTGGTGGCTCGTTTGACTCGCAGTAACCCGCGTTTCGCCCTCGTTCACTTTTGTACAGACTTCCACAAACGTGAGCGCGCGCAGGTGTGGTATTATATCAATATCATATACTACAAGAGATCGATAAATGCTCCTAACATATGTAATAATTCAGCTGTATTGATGATTTAATATGCTAAATATTTACTATTTATAAAAAAGGTCTCGAATACAAATTATTATAGGCTATTGTAATAGTACTAGGCTACGTAAACTTGAGTTTTATAGAGTAAATAGATTATAGCAGCGAATCGAGTCATTTTTAAATGACACGTGTGGACATTACCGCGGGAAGTAGGGGTGCTGAGTGTGCTGCAGCACCCCCTGGCGTGTAGCCCAAGAAAAAATGGGGGGGCTGGGTGTGCGGTGTTAAAAATAAATAAATGAAAATTTTGTAACAAAAAATAAATAAAACTCATTTTATCCATTTGTATATTCATTAAAATTCATAGAAAAAAATAGCCTACAGTGACAATAAACAACAGTAAAACATGAATTAAGTTTAATCAAATTGATTGTGAAAGTTCATAGAAAAAAATAGCCTACAGTGACAATAAGCAACAGTAAAACATGAATTAAGTTTAATCAAATTGATTGTGAAAGTCGTTTCAACTTAAACTGACTTAGGAAGTCGTTTGTTGCCATGACTTTTTGATAATATTAGTATTACCTGTAACATCTGTGCCGGA